ACACACCAGACTAGTTCAGGAGCATGCTGGGAGGAATCAGCCACAGTTAATGTGCTTAAGAATTCTGTCGCCCCCTCTACCTTCAGGATTATGTGGGTCAGGTCCTCAGATTAATGTCATGTGCTGCAAATGCTCCAGGGGACCAAGGCAAAAACAAGACAATGGGTGGCTGACATTCTCTCAGTGAACTATTGTTGTATTACACATACTGATACAGATAACTGATAACTTTTAACTACAACTACAACTTTTTTAATCTGGTGTGGCAGAACTACATATATACTGTATATATTTATAAGAAAACAGTGAAGTTATATTAGTTAATATGCAATAATTAATGCATCATGAAATATCAAATAAAAAAAATCTAAAAATGAACAATACATTCAAAGCATTTATTATTAATCCTGTTTAATGTTCATTTTAACATATACTAATGCATTTGAAGTAATATAAATTAACATTGATGCATTATGAAGGAACATGAATTAACAAAGAACAACAGTAAGTTAACATTAACCTAGATAAATGCTGAAAAAATGTTGTTTATTGTTAGTTTATGATATTTAATGCATTAACTAATGTTGTTGAATTGAGCCTCACTGTAAAATGATAGAGAGAAAACATTTCACATACTAATTAGCAGTTATTTCTAAAATAAAACTGTTAACGATTTACTTTTGAAAACATATTTTGAACATCATACTAAATAATATTCAATTACACTATAAAAGAATAAAAGAATAAGAAACTAATATTAAAGACTAATTACTAACTAATAAACGACTAATATTTTTATATCTAAACAAATGCATGAACTTCATAACATATAGCCAGAATACAAACAAATTAGGACATTTTATAATAATGTGTGATTGTCTTTAATTTAACTTATGATGCCATATGGCTTAGTTTCTGATACAATACCAAAAATGTTCACTACAAAAACAAAACTTTCACACTTAACCAGTTGTTTCACTACTCCTGTACTGACCCAGTTGCTTTTATATTGCTTAATTTTAAAATTAGAATTTCATTTCATCATTAGTTTTCAAGTGTGAAAAGAGAAAACTTCAGGGAGGATCACTGCAAATTAATATTTTGATGCTTTGAGTACTTACTGAACTCTGATTTTGTTATATAATCTTTGGATAGATCATGTTGTGTCATGTCAACCACCCACATTCCATTTACACTTGTCCTGGACGGTCACACAGATGTCAGATATCTCCATGGATACCCACTGCAGAGGATTTCCAACCACCTGACAAACCCCTTGAGCTCGGAGCCTATAAATATGCAGAAAAAAAACATCCTCCAACCACATCCTACCAATTTCAACAGTATCATTACTTCGGTGAGCTGAGAGTCATCCATCAATCTAGCACTTCACCCCTACAACATTCATTTTCTCACCAGATTTGTCTCACTACAAAACGCCAGAATCAAGCCGGCATAGGAAAGCAGAATGGGCGAGGCCTACAACGATCTGAGTTTTTTCTCCTTAGGGACCCCATATGTTTCGACTGCTAAAATAGCTCGGCTCTAATTGCTGCTGGGACATGTGAACAGGTTGTAGAGGTGGAGAACAGATAACCCATCCAGTCATGTCTTCATCAGTATGTTGAGTCACGCTCTGCAATGTTCCACTCGCTTCATTCTAATGAAACTAATCAGCAATTTACTGCAGTAAGATATACTGTATTCCAGATGTTCTTTCTGTAGGCTTCTGCAGCGAATGCTTGTGGAAAAGGTGGAGAATGTGCTGAATACGTGGAAAAATTCTGTGCAGATATCGTCTGGAAACACTCTTTCCAATTCACCCTCCCTCTGGGCTCATATACACACTTACACCTCCGTATGCAGACCACAGTACTGCAGATAAATGGACAAAAAAAACAGGTTCACCCCCATTGAGAAACAAATGCCTCCGTGTGAGACATCTGCACGAGAGTCATGCTCACCGCTAAAATCCCCTAGAGGTGGCCAACCATCCAGTGAGATGTGAAAGTTTCGTTGTGTCAGAGTAACTGATGGCTTTCCAGTCTTATTTCTGCTTCCCTTGCTTTCCCTCCCAGCACTCTTTCCTCTTTTCTTTCTCTCTCTCTCTCTCTCTCTGCGACTCACTTAAAGCCATCTGCACTGTAATTCAATCATCACTCCAAGCAGTGGAAGTAATGATTACTTGGATTAGCTACAGGGCTCCAAGCCACTGTCTTAATATTGACTGGCAGTGACTGCAAATATGAGTTCGGCCAGCAGCTTCGTTTCAGTTTTTGGGGGATGTTTTATGATGTTTTCTGAACTCCCATCATCATACTGCCAATATTTTGCAAGATACGTGCATGCTATTTTAAGATAGATAGATCATAACATGCAATGTGGCAATAATGTACATAAATACTGAGTACAGAAGCATGCACTACCAGGTCACACATGGAAGTTAACATTCAACAACAGCATACAAATTTCACAATTAACAAAAATTTTAGATTTAAACATTACGGAGCATTACAACCAAAAACAACAACAAAATAAACCTGCAAATAGTACGCAAATGCAACTGCATAATTTATTAAATGACACAATGCATGCTGGGAACCTAAGCACCAGCACAGGACACCAAACTATTAGAATTAATCTTTAAATGTGTTACTAAGAAATGGAAGATTACTGTAATGCATACACAAATATTAACTGTAATTCTACAGCACTATGCTGCTTCATTATTTTCTGCTTCTGTTCACTATGAGGTCATTTAATTGTAATGAAATTAAATGCTGTACTAATGTAAATGTACTAGCACCAGCCAGGAATATACTCTAAATTAATATTAAAATGTTTACAAATGTATAAAGGAAACGCTATCTGCTGTCTTCTGTAAATGTTTCAATGTTTAAGAATTATTTGCATCTCCAGAAGTATTTGGGTATAAAACCAAAATGTTCTCAAAGCCAAAAGGTCTTGCTACCAGCCACTTGGTTGTTCAAAGCTACAGTCAATATTATCTTGAACGAAAAAGCTATGGTTTCATCATAATTGGATTTTTGTACAAAACAAAAGCAGGTACAGTATTTCAGTCAATTGACCAAAACTTTGTTACAGAGCCCATACAGCATCCAGCCCAACCAATCACTGTCAAGCAGGAGACTGCAGTTGCTGTGACTGGAACTAATTGGCTTCTGGGTAGCTTTGTGTTTCCAATACAGAGGTGGAGCTTTACATAAAAGCCAACCAACACTTTCACAAAGGCTTATCACTCTCTGTTTGAAGAAGCTGATTCATTGTTTTTGTGTGAAATGCATTAACCTGTCTGTAAAGCTCTACTTCATTTCATGAGCATGTGAACTCCACACAGATTTTCATAAAAGCAGCTCTCAAAACACCTATATGTGAAATGACAAGTGAAATGACTTACAATAACAAACCATGACCTGAAACAACCGACTATAAAAGACATAATACTCCAAGATTATATCACAGTCAGTGTTTTTCCCACAGAGCAGCCTCACACACATTCAGTGCCAAAAAGCTGTCATAGTTTACAGCATAAATGTACGTGTTGCTTCGGTGGCACGAAGCCAAGTGATGAAGCTCACTGGCAGCTCGTTCCTCTCTCTCCTATTGTGAAAGTGCAGTGATGTGGATGCACCTCATGCTCGTTCACCCCATCATTACAGGGGGCAGCGTTTAGCCGAGCAGGAGTGTGCTGCTGCCACACTGGAGAACAGGCAAGGGGGGAAAGGAGACGAGTGCAGAGACAGAGCCTGGTGCTCAGAGGAGCGTCGTGACGGCCGTGGCTCTCTTCCTTGAGCCCCCGGGGTTATTCTAATCCGAACACGCTCAGCGCAGACAGGCATGTAAGACAAAGAAATCTCAGTCCAGCTGTTGTGTGAGACACTGTTGATAATGTCACAGATGTGGTGGAGGAGGAGATAGAAAGCAGACCAGCACAATGCATTCTGAGATGCAGCCACCTCAGTTTGTGGTGTTCAAAGCAGAACAGCAATGAGAAACTCAATCCAGGTGGGCATATGAATGTTCACGCTTGCTTTTCAACTGAAAATATAAAACTACCAAGCAAATCAGGGTCTCACTGGGGAATTGTGTTTTGTTTTTGTTTTTTCCATTTCTCAACTACAAATATATTTCATGTTTACCAGACAGCTGTGTCTAGAATTTTCTGCCTCTTGAAAGACATTCATTTCCAAAACAATCTCATTAATGTTCATATAACTCTCATGCACAAACAGCACTCATTAACATCCAAAACGCCCCTTTTCGACGGTGAAAACATCAGAATAACTTGCACATTGCAAATCAAGTGAATAACGTCACTTGATTTGGGGGGGGGTTATCATTGATAACCGTGAATTCAAGCAGATGTTACCAGACAGCTGTGTCTAGAATTTTCTGCCTCTTGAAAGACATTCATTTCCAAAACAATCTCATTAATGTTCATATAACTCTCATGCACAAACAGCACTCATTAACATCCAAAACGCCCCTTTTCGACGGTGAAAACATCAGAATAACTTGCACATTGCAAATCAAGTGAATAACGTCACTTGATTTGGGGGGGGGTTATCATTGATAACCGTGAATTCAAGCAGATGTGATGTTCATCAGGATCGGTTGTGTTCCGTAATCACATTGGGAACCCTCTCTCCTGCTGAAAAGACCAGCTCAGTCCAGTAATGAATTTCCATACTGGTATGGACCACCAAAACCAAGATGTGCACCAAGACGACTGACCTTGATGGTAACGCTAGTGAAGAAGCTTGATGAGGACATCAGCACTCAAAACACAACATCATTTTCTATTTCCAAACAGCTTGAATGAAATCTAAACAGCTCTTGCCATAATTAAAGGGTAGGGCAAGTGTTTGCCTTCTCTTCTGAAAGTAGATCCAACTACTCACGATCTCTCTTGCCTCTATCAGCCATAACAACATGGCAAGCAATAACGTAAATGCTTTTTTTAATCAAGCAAAACCTACTTGCTTTCCCAGGTTTGGGCCTCTGCAGTAGCTTCTGCACCGTCATCAGGTCCTCAGTCTTCACCGCTTGCAGTAATTCCTGATCTTTCCCCATCGTTATTTATTTTACATCCAAAGCATCCTCTGAACGTGTGTGTAGTGTTGCCCGGAGAGCTCCTCTGCGGATCCTCCCTCTTGCGATGGAGCTGCAGGGCGCGATGATGATGATGATGATGATGCACACTGGCGGAAGGATGCTGGAATACTATAGAGCTGGTGCAGCTGGATCCTGCGAATCACAGATGTTCGTATTCCGGTGTCTAGAGGGTAATTTAAGCACCACGGTGACGGATTTAACGCATCGGTGATGGATCGGATCTTCAGTCTGCGTTGCGATGACCAAAACTGAACAGTCTGTTCTAGAAAACCATCATCAGATAAACCAGCTCCAAACACGTTTTGGTGGCGTGAGCGGATCTGATGCGATGCATTCGAAAATGCTAAATCAATGTTTCTTTAAAATTCCCAAGAGCGGTTTTTCCTGGGATCCGTGAGGCTGTGCTGGAGACGCATCAGTCGGCGGTGCCATCGCTCCGTAGTACTCGCACCGTTATTTTCTGTGCTGCGATGGGTCTATACAAGGAGCGTGCAATGTGCATTTATTTCCCCAACCTTGGATTGGGCTGACATTGCTGTGGTAAATGACTCCGCTTCATCCAGAGGGCGGTCACAAATTGTAGGAACACCCCCCTATTCCAGTGTTGACAGCCACATGAGTTTATGCACTGCTGTATGTATCATAACACATGCTGATGAAATCTGCCTTGTTCTGAAGCTGGCACTAGAAACTTTGTAACGATCTTGTTTTGTACATTACACCGACGTGCCAAAAGTGGATTGCACCAGCCAGGACAAAAACGTAACTCACCTGAGCCCTATAAGGAAACCCGTTTAACGTTAGTCCTTGAAACGAACTAGTAGGCTATATGTAGTTTTATGCAACAAGTAATTATTTTTAATTTGTAAATAATCCAGTAGTCACCAGTAGCCTGTAATGAAGTAGTCGCTAATAGTTATTAGTGCAATAATGCAAGTATGTATTCCATTTTCAAATATTGGTAAATTGTCACTAGTAACAAATATTAACAAAATGTCACAATAAAGTAGCCATTTGCTAGTCATTACATGTGCATAAAGCACATAAATCACATAAGAAATGTTACTAACAACAATTGATACTAGTTGTTAGTGATTAGTTTAACGTCTCTACTGGATTAAGTAGTATCTAATGAGTTATGAGTAATTTAGTTAATAATAAAATATTAAAATGTATTTGCCACTATTGGATTAATCACTTGATTAATGTAATAAAACAAACAAACAAGCAAACAAAAAACTACTAGTACCATAAAATAGGCTACATACTAGTTAGTCTAAATGAATTTTGCCAATTTATCTCCATGGATGTTGGAAAGTACATTTCCAAGAGCAAGATTAAGCATTTCAGACCTGCACTATCTAGGATGCTATGATTCATGGCATTTTTCTTGGTTCTGCTTGCAGTTGTTTTTCTTACCTCTCAAATCCAGCAAATGCTGTCAGTTCTTCAGTTTGAAGGAGCCTGAAGATTACAAAGTAGGGTACAAAAAGCGCTGGGCTGCATGAAGCCTGCATAACAAAACTGTTCCCTGAATACCTGCTCAGAGTTATTGTCTTAACTACATGGGGTTTCTTTCAGAGTCTCTTATATCCAAGTCAAAGCACAATGACCCTCTTTCAGAGCAGAATCCAGTCACGACTGTCATGTTGTATTCACAGCTATACTTAACACTACATTTACCACCATTTTCTCAAAATATCTTCTTTTTTGTTTCACAAAAGTAAAAAGTCATATAGGTGATGTGAGAGAGAGTAAATGTTGACAATTGAACTATCCCTTTGTCATTTTATTGTGTAAAAATACTTTAAATTTCAAATGATGATATACAAATGACTAATTTGCCCTAATCATCACCATCATTAATACCTGCACACCCTTCACCCAGACATTACTGACCCTGTGCAACATATTGTACAACATCTGACTGTGATCCAGCGCCATCCAGTGTTACATGATAGAAAATCAGTTCTAAGATGCCATATAACTCTTGCAAACCTCTAGTGTTTACTGAGCACATTACAATTCAGCTGTCAATTTTTTTGCAGAGAGAAAGCAGTGAATGGGTGGAGACAGGCCTTTTGTGGCTACCACCCTTTCTAAAGACACTGTATTCAACTCCAATGAAACGTGACAATATCATATTTCATGTGGTCTCACCATTTTCTGACAGTTCTGAAAGCCTTTAGGTGTCATACATATTTTTTTTTTTTTTTTGCAAAAATTGAAATAATATTAAATAAGACCTTGAGTGCTTAATTCCTATAATCTTGTGCAATAAATATTCTAATACATAATAAATAGTTAAACTATAAAATGTTTTCTCACAGCCAGCTTTGCAAGAGGAAATATTTAGGAGCAATATCCCAGCATCAAGCACTGTTAGTCATGTAGGCTGTAAGTGAAATGCACAGGAGTGATCATTTACATTTGCCTAAAGAATAAATATGATGTTCATGTTACTTCATAGCTGGTAAAGGGTATTTGACTTGCTGTACACAAAGGAGGAGCTCAAGGATAAGGCTCAACTCAAGCTCCAATTTACTCCCTATGAGACTACTAAATGGATGAAGATAGCTACTGTATATAGGGCAGAAAGAAATCTTAAAGGAGTGAGGATGGAGGTGGGGAGGAGGAGACATGCCAGAAGGACTGTTGCTAAAGTGAGGCAAGCAGCAGCTTATATCTAAAGGTTGATTAGAAGATTAGATAAGCAGCTCCTTCTGAACCCTAGAATTTAATTTAGAGGCAAAAACGCTGTGATAAAAGGCCTTTGTATTTATACAAGTACTTTGGCATTGCAGAGTTATTTCAAGCTTTAAGAGTTCATATCATAACATACCATATATTTAATGAGTCATCACATAATAACACAGTATGTATAATTGGCTTTCATTGCCCACACAAAGCAGCTACTAAACCTCTGGTGCTACAAAACTGTTCAACAGTGAACATATTCAACACCAGCACAGTAAATGCATAACCTGATTGTAGACATCCAACTTTACTCTAACATTAAACAGCCACTGAAAACCCCACATGAATGAATAATAATTACATATTCACATAGCCTACATGCCAACCATTTAGACTTACTCTCTTTTCACGTAGGCAATATAATTTTTCACAAGATTCCAAATCTTATATATTATTTATTTAATATCAAATAAAGAAAATATAAAAGTAATATTTTTAAAAAATTTTAAATGGTAGTTTTGCGTACCAAACTCTAGATAGCAGCCTATATTTTGCATGAGAAATAACATAATAACTAGGCACTATAATCTAAACAGTAGCTAAACAGTCTTCTCTCATATTCACAGTAAGTTTTGTATTCCGCATTGTGACAACGTTGGTTGTAAATGTTCGTTCTGAATGTCTTGGGATTTGATACTGTTGTTCACAACCAATAAACATCTGTGTATTAAGTAACAGCTCTTATTTTGTGAGCAACACAAAGTTGCCTTCACTTGTTGTTCGACGCCAAAAGACCTCTAGGCTGACGCCCTGGTGCGCTTTGGGTTTTTAACAAAAGATAGGGCGGGGTTAAGTGAGGTTTAATCATCTGATTGGCTAGAACTGACAGCAAACAGGAGGAAAACACAGCAATGCGGCATCTGATTGGATGACAGGTTTGTATCAAAGTGAAAATATGTGCCTCCAGCTCTTTACTGTTGCCGCCAGGGCGTCAATGGCGGAACTCCGCGGCAGAAGTTAATATGACACAAGACAGGATCGCATAAGGTAACACAGCAAAAAAAATCGCTTAATAATAGCTCATGTTTTTGTTACAGTTTATTTTTCAGTGCTAAATTAGAGATGCTGTCTGTTCGTGAGCAGGTTTATGGGTGAAGCGGTTTGAAGAGCTTATTGTAAAACTGATGAGTTTAAAGTGATGAATGTTGGTGTGGCGATCCTCGTAGAAGAGCCCCACGAACTGCTGCTTTTTGAGTTTGAAAATAATTGTTACAGGTTTTAGTTGTTTTTTTTAGGTAACTGATATTGATATTTAATATTTAAATATTTGCACTGCTCTTCTCTCATCTGCCTTTCATTTCTACTGTTTTGGACATGTGTAAACATGTTGAGTGTGCACGATGCATCAGTATGGCCCATAGAGAATTACTGCACTTTACATAACTGTTCTGTTATGCTTGGATTGGACCAAAAGAGGAATACATGTTTTTATGTAAGACCATAACTGTAAAGCTGATGGGCAGCAGAATGCAAAAGACCTCTGATAGTTTATAAACACTTTTGTTTGTTTAAATGCATCTTATGTGTTTCATCTTAATAGAAGGGCCCTTTAAACCATGACCATTATCAGTGAACGGTCACAGATTGTGAAGCAGGACACATGATCCTTAAATCAGAGACATCTCACACTGGAATTCCCAACATTGTCTTTTGGCAGCAGATTTTTTTTTTGCCTTTGAATCTAGGTCATTCGTGTCCCTCTGACAGTTAGCCAGTCCTCTGCTGTTCTCCCTGATGAATTCACTTGTGGGAAAGGATTCTGGAAGAGCAATAGATAAAGTAATTGCTTGTCTTAATGCTCTTTGCCTAGATTACAAACCCCAGTCTGGATGAGATCCCTGCTGCTAAATCAGAGGATTAGACTGTGATTTTGGAGAACCCCTCCCTTTGCCTTGATTATGAAATGTCAAAATGTTATAAATATGCCCCTGCTGCAACTCATAACATTTTTTAGGCATTGATCATAAGGTAGATGATTGTGGAAACTTACAGGCTTGTTGGTGCAGGTCACATTTTGTTATTTAGGTTTCTCTCTCACAGGTGTATAGATGAAAGGGTGTTTTTGAGAATTAAGCACAGGTTCATTCTCTGCTCTGGTGCACTAAGGTCAGCATCTTTGTGTTAAACAAAGGTAAACTGAATAGCTTGCTGCCAATCCACCTGTCCGGTATTCGTGTTCACTTACACGCATAAACAAATAGGCAGCTGTTCTCTCCTGCACAATGACACCAGTGTTACACAGGCACTATTGTACAGAAGTTGAGTTGAAGTTTTAGTTCAGGGTAGTGTCTATGAGTAGGTTCAGTCATGCTTGTGAATTTAAGCCACATGGGCACATATAAGGAAAGTGCAGTTGCTTTCACTACATCTTAAACGGAAGTGGTTTCATTGTAGCATGCTAGCCTTAAAACAGATCCACTGATCAGTAAAGACGTGAGAGCTGTTTATTAACATAATACTTTTTAATGCAAATATGTTTTTGCTTCAAGATCCAGATTTTACATCAAGTGATATATACCCAATATAGTAGATTTATTTATTGTACAAGAGTGAACAAAAATGTTAACTTATTAATAGGGCTGCACCGATACCGATACTGGTATCGGTATCGGGCCCGATACTGAGCTCCTGTACTCGTACTCGTTAAAATGCCCAGATACCAAACGCCGATACCACACAGCATGTGATAAGTGCCATATTCAGACAATGAATATTAAATTAAAGATGATGTACCATAGAGCAAAAAAATGAACAGTAAAATTAA